TTTTTTTTTTNTTTTTTTTTTTTTTGTGGAATTATTCATTCGATATTAGTAAAAAGTTATTCAACCTATCAGGATCGAAGTGATATATCTGATTTCCACAACTATCAATTGTGCTTACATTGATAAATGACGGAAAGGAAAACAATCAATCTGATCATTGGTGCTTTATCATTTTCAAATTTCGAAAATTTTAAATAATTGATGTGAAAATGATAATTACTATGTAAAGCAAATCATTTCAGACTTGCTAAATGATAAGTTTTTTTTTTCAGATTGAATCCTTTTTCAATCAAACAAACATTAGTTAAAGTGTGTAAACAAACAAATGTGTTAACAAATAAACGGGAAAAAATGTCAAAACTTTCCAATTAACTCATGCATATCTAATTGTAATTTAATAATTAACTTGAACTAATTTACCTAAAGTGTCTAAGGTATAGATGCATTTTTAGTGAATGATGTCGCCTATTTCCCCCATATGCTTTGTCGACAGAAAACGAAATTCATCATCGATTTCATCTTCCAACCCCTTTGTATATTCGTCTCTCCTTCCGCCCCTCCTCTCCTCCCTCCTCATTAATTAGCATCCGTATAAATCATCTTAACATTGTAATCCGGAAAGTAAAGTTCTGCAATGATTCTTGCATTGTATGACTGATGATGTTGGCATTAAAGTATTATCAATCAAATTTTGATGAAAAACATTTCATCAAAAAAAAAAAAAATCCGTACGAAATTTTGAAACAAACATTAATTAATTGCTGCGAAATTGAGTGAATTGATATATACCACAAGCAGAAAAACAAAAATTAAAAAAGAAATAACAAAACAATTATTTTTGTTAAATTTAAAATTAAGCATCAAAAAACATTCTGAAAGAAGAGGGAATGAAATTGGGACATTTAGGTGACATTGATCCATTTCCAGCTACTTATCGTATTTCAATAAAAATAAAAAGCAACAAAAAAGTGGAAGGAAAAACTAAAATGATCCATTAGCTTTTAATAATCATTACTAAATGAGATTACGACATTTACTGAAATGAAGTTATTTTAAAAAAAAAAGTAAAAAAAGCATGATAATATTGTTGTAAGGAAAATTTGCAAGGATAGAATGAATGTGAGATAATATTTCAATAAAATTCTCAGGTATGAATGAATTTGAAATATTGTGATATTAAGATTCTCAGGTGTGGATAGATGCGAATTATCATCTTTTTGAGATTGACAGAAAGGATCAATATATGACAATAGCTTAAGTAAGATTTTCAGATGATAAAGGGAATAACTTAAAATGAAATAAAACTAAAACTGAAATAATTGGTAACTAAAAGGTTTTTTTTGCTTTTTTCATCAAAAAACACTTTTTCATTTTTTTTATTTCTTCTTCTATTGCATTTTCATTTCTTTCTTATTTTACGTTGGAAAAAATTTTGCCACAAATTGAAAAAAGCTATGAAAAATTGATGCAATTTCATTCAAACTTTCAACATTTTTAAAGACAAGCAATGAGAAATAAATACATTTTCTGACAAAAAAAAAAAATGAGAAAAAGAAATTGGTGATAAAAATGAAATTATTCTTTGTTGTTATCAGACATTCAAACACTTTCAAGGGCAAATTATCAAGTTAAAAAAGAAAAATAAAAAAATGAATGTTCGTTCATTGGTTCCATCTCCGGTGTGGTTGATTCGATTTTGATCAAAATTTCCTTTACAACATAAATTTCAACATAGATTACTACACTACCCATCTTACTTGTTTTATCCCAAAAAAAAAAAGTTTTTTTTAGTATTTGGTAAACTTTGGTGATATTTTGCTCCTTTGCATGATTCATCAAACAAAAGTCATTCCATACCCTTTCCAAAATGAATGGACTTTTTTCTTCTTTTCAAAAGGAACCTTAAAATGTATTTTGCACTCTGCACTTTCAGTTGAAATTATTTTTCATTTTCAAAAATTTTAAATACAACTAGAAATTTTCAAATTTAAATCTTCTTTTGTTCAATTTTTTTAGGCTTTTTTTCTTCCTTTTTCCGTTTCCTTTTTTTTTCCAGTCCAGAATTAAAAATGAATGAAATGTTAAATACGAAGTAACAAATGAACTGACACAAAATATTTTGAAATTTACAGTTTAATAATAAAAAAAAAAAACGAAACGATTGGTTTTCAGTTTTAGCATCGAAATTAATCGCTCAATTTTTGCTTACGTCACTAAGATTTACTGCTTTTTTTCCTATTTAATTCAAAAAAGTTTTTCTTTTTTTTTTTTAAATTACAAGAAGCATTTTATAGCTATCGAATAGATAGTATAAGAAATAATAGGAATGAGGTTGACAGTGCCTGACGAAATGAATAAAACAGCCTTTTAAGTCCAATAATTAATGAATTTTTATGAGGAAGGCCTAATTCCATTTCCTAATTTTATTTGTTTATTTCTGGAACTTTAATTCATTCTATTTCGAATTTGTTTTATCAACAGAATTCTCTAAGAGATGGAAGGAAAAAAAAATGTGAAAACAATTCATTCATTCACTCATTCGTCTCTTTTCTTGCATATGCGAAATAACATTTGGTGGTACAATTTGATTTTATTTTCAGTTCAATTATTTTTTAAGGAAAATACCGTATAACTCTTATGCTTTCCATATATTTTATATTCTAATGAAATAGCAGATAAAAAAGCTAATATTGTTATCCTTTTGCAGAAGATTATCCATATCCTCCCTCTTCTATCAGTTAATTGTCTCTTTCTTTTCTCTTTTCATTACCTTTTATCCTACAATATTTTGTCATTTAATTTAATTGACGCATTTTGATAACAGAAAGATTGTGTTTAGTGTAAGAGATTGAATAATTAGATGATAAAATGAAACTATCGAGAAATATTATTGGAAATAAAGAGGAAACAGCTTAAGAATAATTGTTTGATATTAAAATGAAAATTTTTTCATTTGTTAGAATCTAACACAAATGATTGCTATCACAATCATTTTTGATTTTAAATGAATTCTTTGTTCCCTTTTTCTAGCACATATTTCATTCGAAAAAAATTTATGGAATTGGGAATGAATTCAAAAAACGTTTATAAATTAATATCAAATGCGAGCAAGCTAAACACATAGTTTTGCTTAAGCATGCATCTGTTTGCCTAAGCATGCATCTGTTTGCTTAAACATGCATTTATTTGCATGCATTATGATAGATTAAAAGGAGATTAATCATACAGTTATGTTTCAAAAATTACAAAGTGAAGAAGAAAGTTAGGCGCAAAAAGGAAGAAACAATTGCGCTTCTTTATTGTATCAATCATCTTCAAAAGTCTGCCATTTTTTCCTCAAACTTGTATTTATTATGAGAGAAATAAAAGGATCGCAGCTTTTGTTCTTTCTTCCTTTTGCCTTATCTCATTTAAAAATTACTTCAAATACTTGGGAATAGAAAAAAAATTTAAAAATGAAATAATTAATTCCTATTAAATCTCACCTTTTCCTGCCGAAATCCCTGCTAAATTTCATTTTTTTTTAAAATTGTCTGATTGGCTTTTAGAATATTCGACTATTGGGTGATTTTGTTTAGAGCATATTGATCCCTTTTTTATTATCTCTTAAATAAATTTGAACATATTTTCTAAATTAAAAACTTTTGTCCAAATATTTTAATGTTACCATCTGCTAATAACTTCGATTAAATCTTCAAATATCTTAGAGTTCTTGAATTCCAAATTTCTTAAATTTACCAAATATTAAAATAAAATGTAAAGTTAGAAGTCAGTAAATGTCTAAGCTCTTTTTTTTTTTTGATACCCAAACAAAGTTAAATTGAAAGAAAGAAAAGGAAAAGAAACCGCAAAAATTTCACCAATGTTACGAGAACTGACGCCGATACTCCCATAAAAGATACGATGACATCTGGTAGAATGGAAAGTCATAAATATAATGTCCCTTATGGTTGAGGGATGGAATGAATATTTCCCTCAGATAATTCTCGAAAAATCAACATGTGGCAGAAGATACTGGTCATTGAGTGTTTCCTTAACGTTAATTTATGCATAAGCAATAATTTGGGAATTTCATCTATGAATTTATCGAGTCATCGTGAAGCATATCCATTGGTTGATTGCTAGTATTAATTTATTAGGCTAACCGGAAATGGGAACCAGAAACCAATCTCACATTCCTCACTGGTACCTAAAATTAGTTCCATAGTTTACTGTTGAAACTTTCTGCAACATTTCATTGTCCGTTACCGCCGTTTAATTATCCCGAATATTCATTTATATCAATACAAAATTTGATTGTTCTTATTGCAATCGTCAAGGTGATTTTGCAGTGTGACAGTTTTTAAAAACAAGGTTCGGAGCTTGAAGCCTAAAATTTTCTGCTGCAAAAACTCCTGAAACTTTCTGCAAAACACATCATTACTTACCGGTCCGTTAACAACAGTTGGTCTGGCGTTGTTTTCCACTTTCGGTGACACTTGTTCCATCTATGCTATTCCTGTGATAGTGCAAATTAGCTGCTTCTGAAATCAAAATGATAAAAATCTGTGGTTGCTAAGGTTGATGATTTTCCCTAATGACGGTTGCGCTTCCTATCATCAACAAGCTCATCCAAGTGTAAAAGTTCAATTCTAACCAAAAATAAGAAATAAAAAATAAAAAACGAAAAAACAAGCTTTAAATTGAGATTGGAATTTTAAGTATAACTTTTAGAACTAGATTTTGTTAATCCCAAATCTTCTACTCACCGTTATCATCCTTTACTTCATAAATTTTTTGCCATTAAACGAAATTATTTTCAATTCGATTCGAAATTTTTCGAAATAAAAGTTGTATAATGAATTAAAGAAATGACAAAAAAAAAAATGATATCAATGGTATATATATAGTGTGCACTCGAAAATTTTGTTAGAAAATGAAAAAGTACAGGTTTAGCGAAGGAAAAGAACGAATTGTTGAAAGAATGCAATAAAATGATTTCAAATATTTCAGATACTTAAAAATTTCAAAATTCATTGTATTACAATTCAATGTTACATTTTTGTTTCCTTTTCATACTTATTTGTTTCACAATAAAAATTAACTTTAAATTCTTCAACATTTGTAAACATTTTTTGCTAAAAGCTAACAGGAAAAAAAAACGAAGATATAATAAGTGAAATAATGGAATTGTTTATCAAATAGTTTATTAATAGTAGTATTACAAGTATCTTTTAATCACTAATTAACATTTATTAGTTATTTCATTTATTAACAAATAATATTTTAAATTAAACAACAAAATGTTACCTAAACATCGAATGAAATATATTTGAATAATTTAATCTTTGAACATAACTATTAATATATTTGTTACAGTCATATGATAGCTCTGTTATAGTGACAGTATCAAGCAACTCATTGTCAAATATTGTTGGCAATTTTAAATCAAAATACTGTATCGACAGTTCCATTCGTTTCTAGGTATAAAATTTTATTATTTAAAATAGGAATAAAAAAGTGTTTGAAACAAAGTATGTAATTATATAAATAATGAAATAGCACTACAAATTAGTTACAATTGTTGGAATGACAGGCATAAATATCAATTAAAATGACAGAATTAGTTGATAATGAGATGTAATTCAGTAACTAAGAGGATCAATGATCAACATTTCAGTCCTACTAAATATTAATAATCCTCATCATTGATGACAGTTATGTGTATGCTCTTACAATGGATAAATTAGGCATTCAATATTTTCCAAATATTATTTAATTCATTCTCTTATCGTATTCTCATCGATGATTGTCTTTTTACATAACTATTAAATCTCGTTAATCAAATTTTTAAATTCATTTTTTCTTTTGTTATATTAATTATGAATCTAGAAAATTTTAAATGTTTGGCATTTTTGGTCGAAGAAAGGATGCAACTCAAATAATTTAAAAACTTTTTGAATTTATCCATTCAAGCCCAAAAGCTTTCATTTAATAATACATCATGATAATTTCTCAAAATAAAAGCATTAAACCATTAAACTTCAAGTTTTTGAATTCCTCCCTTTTTTTTTTTTGTTAACCGATAACTTTAGATACAATGACAAGTAACACATTTGTAGGAAAACGATTAATTTTTATGATTTCAATTATGTTAAAAGTTACCAAACCGAAATGAATTTCAAAAGGTTTGTAAACATTGATTTAATGATTGCCATGACATTTTTATTGCAGTACTAATAATTGATTTTACCATTTATGGTATTATCACAAAATGCGATCAAAAGACATGTTAAGTGATAAGAAGGAAGCTGTTAATCTTCACATGCAAATCCATAAAACTTTTATATTTCGATTTCAATCTTAGATCTTTTGAAAAAGAAAGATGCCAGACAGTTCACAGATGTTTAGTATTAATATAAAGGCTGTCATTTTAGTGGTCAATTTTTATAGACAGTTATTAAGGCTAATCTTCAATCTTGTAGAAACATTATGAAACGTTTTTAAAATTTTTCTAAAACTAAGAATTTTTATTTTTAGGGCAATTCTTCATTTGAATTAAATTGAAAATGACGATTTAATGAGATGGATTAATTTTGAACGTCAAGTAGTGATCTATTTTAAAAAAAAATGAAATTACAAAACATTTTTATCCACTATGACGATCATTCTGATACAATCGTATTTGTAAATTAAAATGTCACACTAGTAATAACATAAACAAAAAAAAAAAAGAATTGGGAAGAAAAAAGATTTAGCGTAACTCAAGTGGACAGCCAATTTATGATAATATCGTACAGGCAAAAAAAAACTATCTCATTGCTAAATTTAGTCATTTTAATAATTTTAAAATTTCTTAGCAGAGAAAATCGTTCAATCAGTAACATTCTCCTACGGTTATTTCTTTCTCCTTTTTCAATTTCTTCATACACAATGGAGAAAAAGTATTGAATTTCTCTCAGATATTCATCTTTAAATTTTCATTCAAGAAAAGGAAGCAAAAAAAAATTGAAAAATTTTCAAAAATTTCTTCTCAAAACACATTATATGTTGCTGGAACGTATTGGTAGCAATAATTATTGTTGAATATGCAGTATGGTATGCATTTTATGCATATTTGATATAAATGAATGTAGGAAAAAATAGGAAGTTAAAGTTTTTTAAATAATGCAAAAAAGAAAGTTTGGAATTCGAATTAAATTTTAAAAATAAATTAAATTAGTAGTTGAATAAACGAACTTGTGACAAACATAGTTAATATCTGAAATGGATAAGTTATCATTCTCTAAGAAAGCAAATGATCAGCAAATATATTAGAGTAATTTAATGAGGTAAATTGTACATAGAGTAGAATTGGAGATAATCGAGAGGGCTGCATTCAAATGAATCAACATGGAAAATTTAAACTGTAATGTGTGAAAGATACGATGATGATTGTGATGAAATGGTGTGTGAATTTATAAATAATCAGACAAATCAAATAGAAGCAAAGCGAAAATCACAAATGATTTCTGAAAACTTCGAATATAACTTCTCTGTAAAGAAAATATTGCTGAAATTTAACAACAAATTTCATTTCATTTTTTTATACAAAAAATCAAACCATTGCGGGTACAAATAATTGACAAAATCAATTAAATTAATTGATCGAAATCGAAAGATGCATGCATTCACATCTGATGGGAATTCTAACTTAAAAGAGACAACAAATCACATCCTTTGGCAAAATTACAGACATCGAAACGAATAACTTATACATTTACACCATTTTCATTCATTCATTCATTCATTCACATTAGCAAATATTGTAAAAATTATTATACTTGCATCACTTTGACCATGTTGTTTCGATCACATTCTCTTCATTGGTTTACTACCATAACACAATTCTCAATCCGTTGTAAACTACTTGCGTGTACTATCAAATTTCTTGTTTCCCAAACTGTCCCCTTTGATTTCATCGTATCAGTTAAAGATCAGATTGTACATTTTCTAATATCATTTTAATTCTTTAAGCTTTTTGCTACCCAATAACGGTACCCATTTAAATGCCACATTGATCAAAGATATGAAATATGTTTTAACAAAGCGAATTCTGATTTATTTGCATTATGATTGTTATTTTTTTGTTCAAATTACCATTCAATTATTAACAAATGTAAAAGTTAGTTATATATTCACAAAAAATTTACATTTTTGTCCTGAATCGCTGATAATTATTAATATTTGACACTTTCATTTCAGTTTTGAAATGAATTTACTACTCAATATTTGATAATAAGATATGATAACATTATCATTCATTCTACTTTAAAAATCAATACAATTTGCATAATTTTTTATCAGAATTTCAAGACTTTAAATCCTAAAAAAAACAATCAAACTTTTCGCCAATAATATTTGATTCATGATAGTTTTTCTCATTTCTGCCATATAAAATTTCGTACGATTTTTTTTGCATTTATTAATTATTGATTTTAAGAAAAAAAAAAGTAGTTCATTTCATAGGAAGAATGAATTTTGCACTTTTATTCTGAATTGACAGCTCTTAAAATGTTCTTGTATTTGTTATGACAAATGTGAATGGACTATTAATTATCTTGAGTGACCCAATTTGAATTGACAATTCAACAGGTCATTTCCCTTTCATATTCTCTTCCCTTAATTCGCTATTCTTTTAACTGTTCAAACTACCCTTGCAATTATTAATTCTAATTTATGCCAAACAGCAAAAAAAAAAAATGATAGAGAAATAATTTGAAGGGAATGAAAAACTTCAAGAATCCATTGTAATACATCTGGTATGTAAAATGGAAACTTTCGTTTCAGTTGAAAGTCGGATCAGAGCAAAATTGAGGAAAAAAAAATGTACAGCTAGTGACAAATGTAGGACATATGAAAATATCAATGATATCATCAATAATTGGAAGAAAATCTTTCGAGTTGATTATCAACATATGCATAGTTAAAATTTGCTACATTGATAAGAAAAAATATATAATGATAATGATAATATAAAAACGGGAATAACGAATATAAAAAGATTTTGAATAATGACAATTTTCGAAATATCAATTGAGAATAAATCGGGTATGAATCATTTGGATATCATTGAAGTTAAAGCTATCAGACTATCCATTTTATTCAATATTTACTAATCCAGAAGATCAACCGAATCTATCAAAGAAAAACAATGCAAAATTGTTAAAATAAAAGATTCAGAAGTGTGACAAAAAAAAAGAGTGATATAGTTTTAACGATAATGGAAATATTTAATTCAGCAGGAAACGATCGCGACACAGTCGACATCTTTACAGAATAAAAACTTCACAAATATTTACATGTAGGATAAAGAACTGATGGATGAGGTAGCGAAATATTTTCAACTATACAAGGACGACACATAATGCGACATTTGCTAAATAGCGCATTAAAATGGGAATAACTGCTGTATATTTGAATAATTTAACAGATATAAATTTTGCATGTAAAATTTAGTACACTCAATTTGTAACATGAATAGCCAGCTTTTGATTATAATCCTCGGAAATAATAATGAACAAAACGGTCAAAAGTTATCATTAAATTTATCATTAGTTTTTCATATAAATAGAATCAAATTTCTGATATTAATGAATTCATTTGCATCAAAATTGCGGAAGAGGCAAGAAAAAAAAGGATGAAAATTGAAAGGTAGAAAGTGGAAAACGGAAAATTACAAAAAAGAAATGAGTCATTATTTAGCAAAGGAAAAAAAAAGTCGACAAATTAAAAGGTCTAATCCTTCATCGTTTGATTATTTTATTCATATTTTATGAGAAAAAAATTTCATCACTACTTTTATTAATATTCGACTCTTACAGTATTTTCTGTCCCAGAAATCTTATCACAGTCTATACAGGCTTATAGATTTACTTCCGATAAGTCTGTAAGCTTTTTCTTATTATTATTAGTAATGTTAGCCTTATAGCCCTATATTCCATTTTGCATCTGACAAACCCCTCTTGTCACTCTTTCATATCAAATCTTCATTTATCCATCAGATATGCACTCAATGATATTGGAACCTGGAACCATTATCAAATCCCAATAGTCGAATTTCAGGCCATAAATCACACCATATATTTCATTCCTCAGTCATTGATCTTTTTTTCTTTTCAATTTTAAACTAACTTCCTTCTATTACTTTGCCCTTTTCTGGTAACTTTCATTTCTAAAAGAATATTCATAAAAATTCTTCTTTGGGATTTTGGGACTTTTTTATACTATCGTTGCCAATTTTATAGCTTTTTCACCTATTTGAGAACAAATTTTAAACTTTTTGGGAAAAGTTTTCAAGTATAAATAATATATAAATCTAACTAAGTAATGATAGGGAAAGAAGGTGAAAGGACAAAAGGTCAAATTGCAAATCAATTTAAACTTTTCAATTTTGCTGAAATTTATTGCACAACCTTTTTTATGTTAATTTATTTATCCATGATGATGAGCCAATTAGTTGTTTAAATTTTTATTTAAGTAATATTCATTTAATTTAAATGATATTCAGTTGCCCTCTTATATTTTTTACACTTCTAGGAATTTACAACTTACAATTTCTTTCTTCATACATCAACTCTAATTTACTGACAGAAGTCGTTTAATTGTGTGTAAACAGTGAATGACCAGTGGTCAGTTGTTTCCAGACTTGGCAACTTTTTATAATTTTAAAAATAAAGTAAAATAACTTTCATGCTACTGAACTGAACAAGTTTTTTCCTTGTCATTTGCGCATAATTATCAAGCAGCTATTGCCGTTGCAAGCACTCCTCGGGGAGAACGTCTGTTAGAATATACTTTTTACATTTTTAAACTTTCATTATATCAAATGTTTTCACTGGGACTGGAAATTTCTTTGTCAATAAAGCTAACAATTCCTCAAGAACAGCTGTAAATGAAAAAGCAGGGAAGAAAGAGAAGTTGGTATTTTGGTATTTGAAAGTGTAAAAGTATAATTTAAATTGTTCATGAAAAGTATGACAAAGAATTACTTTCCGTTTTCTTCACCCACTTGTAAATTAAGCTCCATTTATGAGGATTTGAAAATTTTGCAGCCAGAAATTTACATTTCTACTTCCTGTTTTATGTCCCGATAATAATCTCAAACGACTCAAATCCAATATTATTTCCGAAATTTTCAAATCTGGCTAAATTTTGAAAATCATTCCAGTAATAAACAATGAGGCAGATAAAGCTTCCGTTCAAAAATGCAACAAACATTGGACGACATTTGTTGCTCATTAATTCACAATTTCAAATTGCGCCATTTCAGAAATGAATCGATTGCAGCTTCCGCTTCATCAATCTTCCTCTTATAATATCAATAGAATCTTTTTTTGTGGCAAATTCAAGAAAATTAGGGAAGATTAAATGGAATGAAAGAAGTTCAATGCTTCATTGATAACATGAATGAACGAAAAAGTTTCAAACGGTGAATTTTGAGAACAGATTTATTGATTGATTCTATGCAAATTATTTATTTAAACTCAAAAATTTCTAAAATTCTCTGAATTACTCAATTCTTACTTATTTTTTCCATGTTACATATAAAATTATATTCACATTTGACATTAAAATTCTTTGTATATGCAAAAAAATTTGTTTTACTTTGGAATCTATTTAGGTTTGATAAAAAGATATGTAATAAAAAGTTATTAAAAACAAATTTTTTCGTCTTTAATTGTATTTGCTAAGCAAACAATTATAAATAATTCAAATATTGTAGCATTTGGAGAGATTCAAAATATGTGCTGATGTTATTATTTAACCAATTTATTGAATATTTAAAATAAAAACAAAAAAAAAGAAGCATCGAAAGAAGAAGTAATATTGGTTATAATTTCGATATTTATTATTTAAGAAATACCTGTGAATTGAATGGTGATAACAAATGTTGACCTTTGCCTTTCTTCATATGTCACTCGTTTTTCATTTCATTCTGCCATTTTCATCAGTTAATAATTATCATTTAATTTTTTTGCAATATTTAAAACTGATTTCTGTTTTGTTTGTTGGTTTGTTTTTCGTTTATTTGTTTACTTATGCGTTTACTTGTTTATTCGTTTGTTTATTTGTTTCGTTGTTTGCTTTACTCATTTATATGATTTGCTAATCCTGAACCTATGCTTTCATAAAAAACAAAAACAGTTAAATTTCTAAAAGTGATTTTTGCATGTAGAAAAAAGTAAAATAAAACGGATGACATAATTTCTTCGGAATTGTCATACTTTTGGAATTCATGTGCTTTCGCCGGAAATGTTCCAGAAGAAAAAATCTCAAAAATGAAATTCTTGGAATGATTGAATTAGTTGCATTTTAACTGGAATAAAGCATTTCAAAGAGCTATTTGAATTCAAATAATAGTTGAAGTTCCTGAAAGTCTGAAGGAGCTGTAGCATTTTAAAATCAAGTGGTCGATTTCTAAATTAGTCTTGGTTCTTTAGATTTTTTTTAACTTTAAAGTTCCTCCAAAAATCTTGATTTTGGATGGAAATCATTTGAGACTAAATCTTTACTTCATAAATTAGAATTGCCTTTTGATAAAGCAATCCGAGTTTTCATTTTCTTTTATTTCTTATCATATAATTAAATGGTAACCTGAAATTATGCATGAACTGATAATCAGGAAGTACATTTTAAACTGAGAACTAATTTGCATCTAAAAGAATGACAAATTTGACTATCATCTTGTGAAGAGATTTTTCTGAAGCATCACTGATATAAAATAATTGTAGCCATATTTAAACAAACTTTCTAATAGGTAATAATTTACATAGACTAAGTATACGTATGACGTCATGCAACGTTTGTAGACCAAATCCTGCAAGAGTAATGAAAGAAATTTAAAGCTTAAATGGTATTAGCAATGCTATATTGTTAGAAATGAAATGTCATCGAAACTTTAAGTAGTAATTCGTTATAACCTCCAAAAGGTCAACTCATTCTATTTACGCTTGACCCTTGTAATCCTGGAGTATATGAGGCTTAAAGAAGTAAAAATTTCAATCCGTTTTAGGTTACATGAATGTTATTACTGCGATGGTGTAATGCAACATAAATAAAAATTGCTAAGAGCGGTTTAGTCCTTACAGAAAGCTTTACTGAATGAAAAATAATTTACAGTGAATGAAAAATAAATCTGAAAATAATAAATATTAAAAAAAATCAGTCCTAAAATTTCGGCAATACGGACAAAAACAATTTCGTACCGGAGCACACCGTTTTTGAAGTAAAAAAATTCCGATTTTTGGCTGTAACAAGCGATTGGTATCGCTGACACAGCCGATTTGACAATGGCACAAATGTAAGTTTTTGTAAAATTTCTTAAATTTTAAGTGGAATGTATCTAAAATAGTATATAATAAGTCCTGAAAATGGCTAAAAAGCACTTATGTCATATCATTTCGTTGCTAATTATTACGATTAGCATTGAAAGAGGACTGAAGTTCCTTTTTCTTGCAAAGTTTTGAAATTTTAAATTGAAAGAAAATCTACTTTTCACTGAATTAAATTTCACCTTTCTCATTTTTTCCTTCCTTTTTCCGGGACTAAAATTATCTGTGCCTTCTCTCAACTTTCCTTTGCCTACCCTTCTGAACATAAATTTTAATGAAATTTTCAACATCCCAAAAGACAATCCTATTTCTCTTAAACAACATCAGAAATTAATGGTAAAATTTTGTTCCTACACGACGTGGTTAAAGTGACATTTCCGGATTCATTCCCTGAATCTGTATTTGGTGTCATACATTGAAGCACTTGTCTCTCCGATATGATATTATGATCTAGCGATCTTCTACTTCCCTGTATCTGTTCATTGCCATAATTAAGTCGTAATTGATCTGGATTCAATGACCTCAACGAATTACTGATGCTATTTGCAGGCCTATTCAACATTGACGCAAAATTTGATTGTGCTGTTTTACTGCAATTTGGATTCTGAAAATGAAAAAAAAAACTTTTGAAAATCTTAGAAATATCCTGTTAAATGGACGAAATTATTCATTCTTCAATTGGGAAGAATAGATTAACTGAATAATTCTCAACTTTCCAAATGAAAATTGACTTCTCTCTCAGCTACTTTCCTCTTTATTATCACTATTGCAAATAGAAGGAGGAAGAAATCCATGTTAACTTCACTAAGATAGCATAATTGAAATTGAAATTAAAATATATCTTAAATTCTCCCAGTAAATAATTTATACTTTTCATTTGTTCAAATAGAAGAATTTGACTAAAATGATGAGAAATATTATATCATCCAGGTGACAATCACTATCACATCAATGACAATCACTATCACATCAATGACAATCACTATCACATCAATGACAATCACTATCACATCAATGACAATCATTATCACATCAATGCATTTTCTTTCTTCTATTAGCTCTAAATTCATTACATAAAAGCCATTAGCTATTTAAAGTTTACTTTTCCATTTTCTTCGTCCATTCGTCGTTTAAAAGTAAATAACATTTCACCGATTTTCGCACATTTTATATCATCTTCTTTTCTTCTAAACGATGTTACAGAATGTCGAAACTGTTGAGGTAATAAATTGCCTTCTTTTGAAATGTTTGGTGAAAGTGTTACTGTAGGAGTAGTGGGCATTTTTGCACGTGAAGACAAATTCCGTGATCGAATATGATGAGTTAATGATAAGAATCCTGAAAGTGAGGAATAATATCAGTGATTGTAGAATAAAATATCATTTATTCAATTTGTAAAAGGGAAGAATTAATTGGAAACACAAAACTTACCACCATTAGAAAGTTTACTTT